CGAGAGATAGAATTGAAAAATTGAGTTGAGATGCTCACCTTGCTTCTAATGTCTCATTATTCATCTGCCTAATTGCCACAGTTGTCGTTGTTTCCTTATCCTATTTGATTGTTTTGAACGAAGTCTTTCGTAGTTCCCGTTGGTAATGCAGCAAGTGCTTTGTGGTATTGAATGACTAACAGATGGAGTGCTTAAAATGAGTAATTGCCTTTCTTTCCACTAGATTAAAGATTAATTTTTTTTAATAAAACACTAGAGCGCGAAGAGGCTGAGGAGAAGGCTCGTAAAGAGAAGGAGGAGAAAGAACGAGAGTATCGTGAGCGTATTGCTAGGATGGACGAGTTGGAACGTAAGCGGCGAGAAAGAGAGAAGGAGATTGAAGAAAAGGAAAATCTATCTCGAAGCAAACCTGAGACTGATCGAGATGGTCCAGCCAGACCAGTGGACCGCGACAGAGACGGAGACCAGTGGGGTCCACCTCGCAGGGATATGAAAGACGAAAGAGGTGAGCCACATGTAGCTCGTTTGTTGGCATTGTTCAGTCAGGAGCCAAGTTAGTTGGCTGTCGCGTTTGGGAAGATAATGTGGAGGTGACCCGTGGCCTTAAGGAGTGGTCTTGTTCCAATCAAGAAGTAGAGCCCCCGATTAAGAGAAATGGAAAATGAAAACCGGCAAGCACACATAAGTAGAACTGAACTCTATAGTTTTCATCTGAATGGTCATATACCAGGATTACTCGCACAGATTGAAATTTAAGCTTGATGCAAGTGACTCGAGTAGAGTGAAAGTGCTTGTGTTTTTAGCTTATTCCTCCTTGTTATGTTGTTTTCAGAAGGAAGAGACGAGCCAAAAGGTGGTGCACCATGGAGGCGTGATGATCGCGAACGTGAACGTGATGGTCCACCACCAGGCCGTGAAGAGGAGTGTGATCAGGAACTTGATCGGCGTCGTGGTGGTGATAGCCGAGATGACCGTTTCCGTGACGATCGTTTCCGTGATGAGCGTTCCCGCGACGATCGTTTCCGCGATGATCGTTTGCGTGACGATCGTCCCCGTGATGATCGCTTCCGTGACTCAGGTCCAGGTTCGTTCTAAAAGTCAGAATATATCTACAGTCACGTCCAAGTTGTGCTTACGTTACCCATGCGTTGGCAAGGATATCGGTTATGAAAATCTGGAAAGTTATCAGCTGGGAGTGTTGTTTTACGTGAAAGGAATGTCTGGCAATCGTTGAGTTAAATTATTAAGCTCGTTCTCTCTCACCATAGTTTTATGTTGTTAAGTAAGATTGAAAATGACTTTAAATTTTAAGATTACTATTCTATCCGAGCCGAGAACCTGTTAAGATGAAAGTAGCAGCTTTACATATCAACACTAAGATCAGAAACTCCGCCATTGCCGCAAGTTGAAGTTGTTAGACGAAGTAAACGTTATAAGACGTTAGATAAAACATCGCTGATTTGATTCTCTCAGGCGGGACCTGGAGACGGGATGACCGCGACAGAGAAGGGCCTCGTGATGAGGGATCATCTTGGAGGAGGCCTGGGGACAGAGATGGTCCCCCGAGACGTGGTAAGAAATGTCAAACTGTACATGCATGTGGTTGTGTTATACGCTTGAGGATTGGAGTTTTTGCTCTACTTATATGCTGGTCTCCTATAACCGTGTCTGGATTATTACTGAAAAAGGTTTCAACTTTTAAGATCTATCTGTTTCTTTACCTTTTGTGAGACATGGACCGTGGAAGAATGGATGACCGTGGTCCCTGGAGGAGGGATGACCGTGACCGTCCTCCCGTAAGTGGATGGCGTGACCGTGACCGTGATCGTGACGAACGTGACCGTCCACCACCAAGTGCTTGGCGTGCGCGTGATGACCGCGGGCGAGATGATCGCGGACGTGACGACCGATGGCGTGACGATCGTGGCCGTGACGATCGTGGCCGTGACGACCGTGGTCGTGACGACCGATGGCGTGACGATCGTGGACGCGATGACCGTGGACGCGATGAACGTGGACGCGATGAAGGTGGACGCGATGAACGTGGTCGCGATGATCGTGGACGCGATGAACGTGGACGCGATGAACGTGGACGCGATGTTCGTGGACGCGATGAACGTGGACGCGATGATCGTGGGCGTGACGACCGTGACAGACCGATGGCTTGGCGGGGACGTGATCGAGATGAGCGTGACCGTCCATCAGGGGATTCTTGGCGTCCTGACCGTGATCGCGGTGATCGGGATCGTGGAGGCCGTGAAGGAGACCGCTTTAGAGGAGATCGAGATCGTGATGATCGTGATCGCCCTGGGTGGAGGAATGAGCGTTCAGATGATCGTGACCGTGATCGTGATACGTGGAGAGCTAGAGGGGATGAGCCAGGTCGTGATCAGTGGAGACGAGAACCACCCCCTGCACGTACTGAAGGTTGGTTAGCGCAAGCCTCCCACCCTCCCCAATTTGTAATCTGAGAACGTCTTCAGATTAGCTTAAGACCCCCCCTCCCCCTTCCCACCCCACGCATCCCCCCTCCCCTTGCCTATATTTCTCTTTACGATCTGGTCCTATTTTCTGTGGTTTACGGAAATGACCTTTAGCGAACTGAAAGAATGAATTAGCGACCAGCGTATCGTTTCCATGCAGTGCACTGCTAGCTCTTTTGTAAGTTTAAAGTTACTTTTCTTTTGTAGGAAAATCCTGGTCAGCGTCCCGTCGCGGTCGCGAACGACCCCCTGCAGAGCAATCAGATCCAGAGGGTTGGACCACAGTTCAGTACAAATGAAGAGTTCACACTACCCTGGCGAGGAACTGAAATAAACATATCACACTACCTTGGCGAGTAACTGAATTAAATAGCACATATCTCCTTGACTTGATGTGCACAGCTTTCCAGCCTATTTGGATTTGTCATCAGAAATATGGTTAAAACTTGTGTGGATTTTTGTAGTTTGACTTAAATTAACACACTGGGTTTCACGGTGATTATCTCCTGTTTGGGTGATTCATGTACCATCTGTAACTCTCGCTTAAACCTGCTTGAGTGTCACTCGAGTTAACCTACAATGAGACTAAATTGCAGGACCACACTAGATCACAACCTGCTTGGTGGATATAGCTATCCAAGACAGAAGCTTTGAAGCACGTGATATGTAAAATTTACATCTGTGTGCGTGTGTGATTACCAATGTAAACAGTAGGCTACGCTTGATATATCAATATTCTAACATGGCTCCGAGGCATCAAGGTGGAACTTCTTTATTTGGTGGTGTTCTTGGGACACGCGGAACGTAACAAATC